CCCTCTGAGCCCTATTGTTGCTCAGGGAGCCCAAATGGGTGTTTGCACAGCCCTGCCTGGCAGCCCTTCCCTGTGCAGAGCTCCCTGTCTTTGCCTCATCCCTGCAGCACCATGACTTCTGCCTCCTGGGCTGTCCCAGACCCATCGAGGGGCTGCTCCCTCAGCTTTCCTGCCAGGGCCACACAGCCACTGAGGTCAGCCACGGACAGACAGACAGGAGGTGCTGGAGAAGCATTTCCCCTCTCAGGACAGGAACAGGACCTTTCCCATCCTTACCCTTCTGTGAGCCCTGGGGGCACTGACACTCACTCCCAATTCCCCTCAGGAGGCATTTCTTCTGGCTGACTGGTATCACCACCGTGATCAGCACCTTCATGTCCTTCATCAAGCCGACCCTCAATGCCTATGCGCTCAACTGCATCGCCTTCCACCTGCTGTACCTCACCTGGAGGGAGCTCAAGAAGTAAGGAGGGGGCTCAGGGGTTCCCTGCAGCTCCTGCTGGGCAGGGACTGTGTCCTCAGCAGTGAACTGAGCCCAAATCTTCTCCAGGTGTACTGGGGAGGGAGCAGGCAGAGGCCCAGGCAGGACTGCGGGCAGTGGGGCACAAGAATGGCACCTGGCCCAGAATGGGGACAACCCATGGGACAGTGGTGGAGTCATCATTCCTGGAAATTTTCAAAAACCCTGTGGATGTGGCATTTGAGACAGGGTTTTGTGCTGACATGGTTGGTGGTGCTGGGTTAACGGTTGGACATGATGATCTTTTCCAGCCTTTACAGTTCTATGAGCCCATGATTCTCCCCCTCGGCTGCCATCTCTGCAGCTCCTTCCCTTTTGTGGGGCATTTGGGAGCTAGTGTGGGGCTGGGTGTCTGGAGAGAAAGACAGGAGTGCTTTGGCATCTCCCAGCATCATCCTCACACCCAGAAGGTCAGAAATCCTCTCCCCAGAGCCACACTTCTCCAGTTCCTGTGGAATTCTGAGGAACACTCTCCAGAAGGAGCTTGCTGGGGTTTGCACTGCTGCTAGCGCAGGCAGGAGCCAGCCCTCTTTAAAACTCCCTTTCCTTCCAACACCATTACTCTGCTCCCTGTCCCTCGCTGTGTCTTCCAGGTGCAATGACAAACGGGTTCACCGGATGGCCGCGGTCATGGTCATGTGGTGGGCACTGGCCATCACCAGCTGGATCAGTGACCGGTGGCTCTGCTGGCTCTGGCAGGCCATCAACTTCCCCTACTTCCACAGCTTCTGGTAAGGGCTCCAGGAACCCCAGTCCAAACATTTCCTGGGCTGAAAGGTCCACAGCAGAGAAACAGTGGCCAAGGTGAAACAGCTGCATTATTTCCCCGCCCTCTCCCCCTTCCTGTCACTTGTCTCCTCACTCAGCCCCAGCATTCAGCCCTAACCACTGTTTCATGTCCCTCTCCTCCACACCAGCCAAGCACTGTTTTGCAAGT